TGCCCGTGACCTGTCCATGAATTTTACTCTATAAATACCCTGGACTAAAACTTAGCAGCTCCTGGGGCCCTGCTGGGGACCAGGGCACTGCTGTTCTGGGGGCCCCAGGACACCGCACTAGCCCCTGCACTGGCCGTGGGGGCTGACTGCCCCCAGCCATCCCTGCTCCGAGGCATCGGGGACTGCTGCTCAGGTGCTTCCCGGGGTTGCCCAAGGACTGCTGCTCGGGTGCTCCCCACGGCCAGCCGCCCCGGGGACAGCTGCTCGGGCAATCCTCAGGGCTGCCTCTGGGACCGCTGTCCCCCGCAGGGCCAGTTGCTCTGGGGCCACTGCTTGGGTGCTTCCCCTGTGCCAGCTGCTGGAGCAACTGCTGGTGCGGCTGGCCCCAGGGCCACTCCAGCCGCACTTGATGCAGCTGGTCGCGGGGTGCCCGAGAAGCTGGCCCTAGGGCCAGCTGCTCTGGCGGCCCTGGGATCAGCCACACTGGCCATTGCAGCTGGGAAAGTCACGGAGGTCGTGGAAAGTCATGGAATCTGTGACATCCACAACCTCTGTGACAGAATCGCAGCCTTAATCATGGTTTGCTGGCTTCTCTCACTGCTCTATCACAGACACACCACACACACTCCCCTCAATCACTTCAGCACTGGGGAATGTATAATTTACGGAATTTTCTATAACAATGTATAAATGATACTTTTATATTTTTGAAGACTGTAGCAATATCAAAATTATATGGATTGAGGGCTCCAACATGCAAACCGCTAGTCACATGGGTAGACCTCATTCACATGAAAAACCCTGTTGACTTCAGAGTAAATATGTCCTTTTGGCATAACGTGCATAATGGCTTTAAAGCAAAACATTATATAGTACAGCGTTTTCCCCCCCTGAAACAGCACAAAGGATTCTGGGATATAGAACACAAAGGATTCTGGGACATAAAGATCACAGGATAAAATACTGGGTGTTTTGGGAGCCACAGAAGGAAAAAGACCATTGTTCAGATTTTAAATCTGAGAATCCATTGTGGCATACAAAGGGCATAGGACAGAAAACATTACGCTGACTGAATACCAGTTGCTAAGGAAACCCACAGCATGCCTATTTTAAAAGTTTTCCAGAGAAAAAAGAAAAGCCAGTTGGGAAGTAAAGTTGGATCCTTTGCTTAGAGTGGAAATGAAATCCAAGGGTCATCTGAGGAGTGGACAGAAGGGGTTAGTACTGTAGTTAGCTTAGAGGCTTCCTGGGAGTGAAGACCAATAGGTCAAGCTTCAGAAGTCTGACTGATTAATGGGGGAAAGGGAAGCTTCTCTAAAATTTCCAGACTGAGATTAAATGACAAAGAATCTAAATATAGGGTTTTATTATGGTTCTTATTGCCATTTTTTCTTGGTTTTTTTTTTCAAGCCTAGCTTGGTTTCTCCTTCAGTTTCCTCGCATAATTTAAAGGAACTTGTGGCTTACTCTAAATTGTGCTGAATGCCCTTATACCAAGGGGCAGGGCCGGATTAACTTTTTGTGGGCCCGGTGCCAAACGTATTTGTGGGCCCGCCTGGGGCATGAAGGGGGCAGGGGCAAGAGAACAGAGGGCAGGGCGGATTTGATTTAAATCATGATTTAAATCACTAATCAGACTCGATTTAATCATGGATTTCTACATAAAAGTGCATTCTTGTTGGTTGTTATAACATAATACATATTCTTCACAACTCAGAGATAGATGTAGGTTTTTTTAGAAGGTACACACTATACATTTTTAAACAGTGATTTATTTATTCAACAGGTTAATCATTAATATTTGGAGGATTTTTCTTGCCATTCTGTATTAGGAGGAGAACATCACCAGACAGACATTTAAATTGTTTTATTTAACTAAAACAACAACGTTAAGTATTCTGGATTTTTTTCTTCAACAGCAAACATAATATTTTAACAAAAAAGCATATGTCGCTCACTTCTCACAGACTTCTTCTCCTTGTCCAGATCTATTCTGCCCTCAACAATCTTCCATTCATTGAACTTTTTGAAACTTTTCACTTTTAGAGAGAGGTAAGGGATTGACTCTTTGTACACAAATTTGCAGAGGGACAATAGGGTTGAGGTCTGTTATTTCTCACCTCCATATATTATTTATTTATTTAAACCCATTTTTGCTTTAACAAGCATGTTACCTCTGGAGACACAAATCCACAGTTTGAGAACTGCAAAATTAAGCATCTCTGATGGTATCTTATAGACTGAGCACTGAGTCCCATTGGGTAGATAGAAAGATTAACCTAAATCCATACAGAAGCCTGTGGAACCCCATAAAATTGGGTCCCTAATCCATGAACTATTAGAATTCATTTACGAAACTTTTCTTAAACATTACATAAATATATTGTCTCATACAATAGAATTAGAATTTATAATCCCTATTCCATGATGAGATATAATGTATCTCAATTAAAACTATTTTTAGATAGGTATTTTTCCTCAAAAATCTGATTAAAATTAAAAAAATCTGATTTTTTAATTTTTTTAAAAATAATTGATTTTTATCCACCCTGGTGTGTGTGGGGGGGGAAAGAATTGGTCCCCAGCTGGAGCAAGGCAGGGGTCAGTGGCAAGATGAGCACAGTGGGGCATGGGGGAAGGATTTGTCCCTGCTGATTGGATCAAGGCAGGGGCCAGGGGCAAAAGCATAGCGGGGCAGGGCTGGGGAGGGGGTAAAAAGGATTCCCCCACCCTGCCCACATAGAGCGGGTACCTACCTTCTCCCTGGTTCTAGCCCATTCTCTTTGTCTCTCTCTGCACTGAGCTGAGGGTGGGGGTGCACTGAGCACAGGGCTGGGGGTGCTGGGTCTGGGGGGGGGAGTTAGGGTGCAGGAGCAGGCTGGGGGTGGGGTGCAGGGTCTGGCCAGGAGTTAGGGTGAGGAAGGGGGCTCAGGGTTGGGGCAGGAGGTTGGAGTGTGGAGTCTAAGAGCTTTTCTGTATGGCCATTTTTCATAACTGTTATTTATTTATGCTGTTCTGATATGTGAAGAAACATTTCTTCATTGCTTTTTTGTGGTATTATTTTCCTAACACATACTCCTTTGAGTTTCCGGTATACGGAGGTCACTTTTCCTCTCCTTCCTCTTCCCTCTTTTGTGCATAAATCTTGGGTTCGTTCACTTCTTTTCTCTGCTGCTGCTGCTGGTAAGTCAGATGACATGCCCATGGCAGCTAGGAGGGTAAAGAAAATTGTAAGGAAAGTTCTATTGTGTAACCCCCCAATTTTTATTTATTTATTTTAAAAAAACCAGATCTAAGGATACAGCATTTTTGGAAGTCTCCTTTGTTTTCCATCATTCCAGTGGCGAGTTATATGTCCTTTGTCTACATCTACATCAATAGACTGGATTTCTACTGCAAAGTTTCAGTCAAATGGCCTCCATCTCACATCCAGCAAATGAACTACAGAAAAAGTGACAGATCTCTAAAAATTGTCTGGAAAAATCACAGGTATGTACAGTAAATGTCTACTCTCCTATCTGATATATTTAATCACTGCAGTTTTCTCTAAGCAGAAATTTATTTTACACGTTTCATATGGGTCTGTTTGTTGGAGTGTGGATATTGTAGTCACTGTCAATCATGAATCTACACCATGAAGAATCGTAGAAACATAGGGCTGGATTTCCTAATATCTAACCTTAACCTCCCTTGCTGTAGGTTAAGCCCATTACTTCTTGTCCTATGTTCAGTGGACATGGAGGACATGGAAGACAATTGATCACCATCAGGTCCCCTTCAGTCTTCTTTTCTCAAGGTTATTTTTACCATTCCTCAGCAGTCAGGTTTTCTAAACTTTTTATCATTATTGTAGGTCCCCCGCCCCTCCTTTTTTTCCCTATTTGTCCACATCTGTCTTAATGTGTGGCGCCCAGAATTAGACACAGTCCTCTAGCTGAGGCGTCACCAGTGTTAAGTAGAGCAGGACACTTACCTCCTATGTCTTACATATGACACTGCTGTTAATACACTCCAAAATGATGTTAGTCTTTCTCACACCTGCATCACATTGTTGACTTGTATTCAATTTGTAATCTGCTACAACCCTCAGATCCTTTTCAGCAGTACCATCTCCTAGACAGTTATTTCCCCATTTAAGAGTTGTGCATTTAATTTTTCCTCCCTAGGTGAAGTACTTTGCATTTGTTTTTATTTAATTTCAGCTTGTTGATTTCAGACCAATTCTCCAATTTGTCAAGGTCAATTTGAATTCTAATCCTGTCTCCCATGTTTTTGAAATCCCTCCCAGCTTGGTGTCATCTGCAAATTTTATAAGCATATTCTTAATTAGAATTAGTCAAAAATAATTAGAATGAATCAAAAATTGTCATACTTTTTAACATAAAATGGCTTTTTGACTAAATGAAATTTTTTGTGAAAAAAATATTTTTTAAATTTTCCAGGTTTTTGTTTTAAAAAATTTTTTTTGTTGTTGTTTTTGGTTGTCGATAATTGGTAAAATTTTGGTTTAGGATTTTCAGTTGTTGTGAAACCAAAACAATTTCTACTAAAAACTTCAACACAAAAGGAAAATTTTCATTCTCATTGAGATTTTGAGAGGGAAAACAGGTCCTAGTCAGCTGTACAAAGAATATATATGCCTCTTCCATGGAGTCCAACCTTTGGATTACATGAAAATCTACATGATTATGAAGGGCAACTCTGACAGTCCTGATACAGATCTTTATCACAGGGTAAATTTTGCAAAGATGTTT